TTTTAATGCAGATGTGTGTGCAGGCAGATTTACAAGTGTATCTTCTTCCCTGCTAGACTATAAGATCCAGCACAACTTTGCATCACACAGTGTTTAACACTGCGTCTTTCACATTGTAGAGGTCTTACGTTACATTAGTGTCTTACATTACAGTATATATTTGAGGTGTGGATACTAGAATAGTAAAAACAGCAAAATTGCACTCAATTACCTCTTTGTAGGCAATCTAGCAAGAAAGAAAATTCATTCAAGTGGAATGATAAGAATTTGTGAAATAGAATAAATACAAAAAGCTTCTCAGCAGGAGTATATTCTTTCACTTATTAAATCTCAAATGAGATTATTTTAAAGTATAATAGTGTATGGCTATGTATTTAATATTTTAGCAGATTAAAACTAAAAAAAAATCAACAAAACGAATGCTAACAAAATAACCAATAATTTGGAAGGTTTTCAAATATATACTATCCTATAAATTCTGTTCTTTTTAATCCATCAAGGCCAAAATCTACCAGAGTTAGTACTAGGAGAAACAGCAAGTTGAGAAGGTGTAGAAGACCAGGAAATAGCCAACATGTAAGAGTGAGGGACTGAGATTTTACAACTGGGTTAGGGAACCCACTAATTATTCTCAGGGCTTAAGAATTCCCCGAGTTGAAGCATTCTGTCAGTAATTTGTAAAATAGATTTATTAGTTTGACACTCTTTGGTAGCAAAGATCAGCTTGACCATTTCTGTTTCTCCCACAGGACCAGACACAATATCTAGTATATATTATACGAGTAATAAATGCATTTGGGATGCAATCCAATAGCTTCTTTCTGTTCCAAATGCTTTTCTCATTTCCTGTATGCTTATCTCTTATTGGTGGATATATTTATGCCAAACTACTCCTTAAAGCCTCTAATCTCTCCTTTTAATCTTTATAGTCAGTGACATGATCTATTATCCATAAATGGAAAGCTATTAGAAATATGATTGAAAAGTTTGTCCATATAATGGAAACACTATCTAAATGTTACTGTGCTCTAGGAGATACACTAAGTATGCACCATGTATGCTATACTTTAATCCTCACGGTAACCCAGTCAATAGATGCTATTATCACTCTAAGTTATAGATGAGGAAACTGAGGCTCAGAAAAGTTAAGTAAATTGCCCAAGGTCAAAATCTCCTAGTTAGCACCAAGGACCTAAATAGTTCTAATTTCAAAGTCCACTCTGTTATAGTTAGTCAAAGTATAATTTTACAGACAGATTTTCCAATATTCACACGTGGTACAAGATACTTTGCCACTGGTTTATCACTAACAAATGTATTGACTAGTCTAACAATAAGCTTGCCACTCTAGAAAGAAGGATATAAAATAAAGTATAAAAATAAAAAGTAATGGTATAACTACTCAATTGCCCAATCTTGAAAGCTCTGAGTTGACTGCCACTCCTTATGTATACTTTGACGTTCCAAGTATAACCTATTATTATTATTATTGATCTTATATCTGAAATGTGTTCTAAATCTGCCCCCAGGCCCACTGCTGTCCCAGTTTTCATCACTTGATTGGACTGCCTCATACCTGGTACTCTTTTCTACTTAAGCTTATTGTCCATGTTGCCTTCAGAAGTGGAAAAATTAACTTGTTGATCTTAAATATATCATTTGTGATTTCCTTTACCTATTAAAAAAAACTTAAAATCCTTACACCTTCTAAGCCTTTCTACTCAAATCTCGAGATTTATTTTACCCTAGCATCCTTCAGTTCTCTTCCACCCAAAAAAGCTATTACTGATGATGAAAATGCACAAACAAAAACATTAGACAACCCCTAAAAATAAACTTCAGGTGCAGCAAACACCTAAAGCGTTTGTTCTACTTGTCCTTGGAAAAGTGAAAAATAATCACCTGAAGATTTCGGCATCACTTTTTTGTCTAATCTGCTTTTTGACTCCTATATAAATTGTCTAATAAATGTTATGAAATAAATGAAAAAAGAATCTACCTAAAGTGTTTAAATATTACTTTTCAAAATTGGCTACTATTAAACTAAGGAGAGCTATTAGTTTGTTTATTTTCCAAATTATTTAAGCTTGTTTTCAAAACTCATTTGTAGAGAAAACAATTGGAAGCAATCAGTATAACTGTATTTTATGCACCCTGAATATTTACCTATTTTTAAACTTCTATATCTTTATTATAGAAAGTTGGGGGAGAAATAGACAGATACCTTCTAGCCACTTAAAGTAGTCAAATCATTAATCTAAGCTTTCAATTTAGGATAAAGATGTTCCAGGTGGTCCATTCTCAAATTCTAAATGTTTTCATAGATATACGGCAGTGTATTTTTTGTAAACGTTGAAATTTGATCCTCAGTGCAATTGCTAGATATCAAATTGATTTAATTACGATATGATGTAACTAATTAATCTCAAACGTATCTATGTAAATATCTTCTCAAATTGTTGGGCATGGTTCCATTCTATGCTAGAACAATTGTCTGAATGTCGAGGCATAAAAACTGAGGCTACACAGTGAAACAAAAGTTGCTATATATTTCAACAATAATTAATACATAATCAATATCAGGTTAGTAACAGAATTGTAGTAGGCATTTTATTATTCAGTTTGGTGGTGTGTTTTCAAAAGTGTGTTCTGGTTGTAGGTTTGACAAAAAGAGGAAGATGATTGAAATTATGTTGATAGCAAAGGGAAAAGAAGCAGAAATATCAGTTAATGCGTTACTTCCATTCCTTGCTAACTAATTGTCCTTGCCATTCGTGCAGTTGTGGCAGGTGGAGTAAATATGACAGACACAACACCTCTACTATCAGGACAACCTTCTGGATTGAAGCCAGGGTTGGCAGGGGGAGCATATCACATGTCATGTCCCCTATTCCTACCTCATGGTAGAAGGAAATTAATACAGAGTTGGAAAAGACATCAGAGTTATATTTCTTCCCTTTATAAGAGAGAAAATAGAGGATCTGAGAAAATCGAGGTTATAGGATTGATTAGGGATGCATCTCAGCTATTCTCACTTTCACCTTTCATACAGACTCCCGAACTTTTGTATGAAATCATTGTTGGTAGCTAAAGCGCGACCAACAGCTACCGCCTCTAAACATCAATGAACACCTTTGTGTCAGAAACAGAGCAATTTTACATTTATTTTGGAATTTAACTCTTTTAACAACTCAATAAGGCCAATACTCTCTTCATTTTATAGGTGAACAAACTGAGACTAGGAGGGATGAAATAACCTGTCCAAGACCTGCTAATATGTGGCAGATGTGGGATGTGAACTCAGTTCGGCTGTACTCCTAAGGCCATGTTTTCTCTGTTATGCTTTCCAGATGCTTGCTTTAACAGGATTGGTTGAATTTGGTTCTGGAAGGACAATTATAGATTACAATAAAAGGGTGTTTATACCATTGCTAATAATTATATCAGTGTCAATATCCTTGTTAAAGACATTTAAAATATTACATTAGGCAGCAGCACCACAAATTGTAGGTTCTGATTTCCCAGGTTTCTTATTAAGGGATTGAAGCAACTCACTTGTCTGAAATGCAAAGGTCATACACATTAACAGAAACTATTGTACAGAGGACCCAGTGCAAAGATGAGGGAAGCCCAGGGAGCGATAAAAATGTAACTCAGTCTTGGGGCAAGGATCATCTACGGACAGGAAATGTAACGAGAAAATCTTACCCTCACAGAACACTGATAGACAAAGAACACATAAATATGCATGCTCTCATTCTTTTTTCCCTTTGGATACCCTCAGCTCTCCTCGTTCTTTCTGTTCTGCAACTGAAATTGCTTGCCTACTAAACAACTGCATATGGAACAAAGATTGAGCAAGGAAAAGGAAGGAAGAAACTCATTCTGCTGACCCCAAGAAAAAGCAGGGCTAACTTTGCCTTTTCAGACAGTCTCTGGTGGGGATGCAGGTTGTCCAGAAAGGTGTGTTTGTTGAATAAGGTGCTCAACAAATAGCTAAGGCCTGTTTCATGAAAGCAACCATTTCCCTTGGAGAGTTGCCTCCTAGCAGAGCTCATATAGCCTGTCTTTGAGGGAGCTAGTAGGTTTCCATAAAGATCGGGGATGAGATCGGGGAAATAGCAAAGTCATCGCAGTCACTGAGTTGCCATTTCAGCCGTGCTTTACCCTAGGAGACTGTAATATGTAGGATCTGTATCTAAGTCAGTCCGGATCATTTTGATGTAATCAATTTCACTGTGACATATTGAGGATGAAATTACAGTGGTGGTTGTTACTGAAGCCACAGGGAAACTTGTGAATAAGAAGCTGCCAGTACATACCCATATCGTCCAGGGGAGACAGTATTATGGTTTTAGACAGCTCATGCTCTTTAGTAAGACATATTCCTACTGTAATAGAAAAATCCATTTAGAGGACCCAAAAATGTGTTGTCATTCTATGCACCCAGCTGAACTATGGACCTCAAATTGCTTTCCACAATGGACTTTACTGACAGAGAGTGGCTTAAACAACAGATGGGTTAACCTTTTTCCCAGGAGGGCAAAAGTCAACAGCTTTTCAGTTATATTTCCCTCACAGACTCTAACAGCCCTACAAAACAAAAAAATAGGTCCACATCAATTGCATTTGAATGCAACTTTTAAACCTGCCATTGTAAATTACTAAATTAAGACTTCCCTTAAATAAATTATTTTATCGGAGCCTGATTATGTTTTGGTGAAATTAGAAAATCAAATTCAAGAGTCTACAAAATTGAAGCCCACACTCTGTACCCTTTTTTATTCCATTAAGGTATCAGCTCCTCTGTTTGAGACTTTGATTTGAACAAATATCAGTCAATTATAACTTTATAAGTATAAGTATTACAGATAATCTTACATATTATATAAATCTCGTTGGTACAGAAGTATAACTCAGTGATATGGATGAGAAATTCATAGCTCATATCAGAATAAAGAAAGAAAAGACAGATTTTAATAGAAAAGAAAATGTCTTACTTGGTTAAGAATGTCTTGTTTCTGTGCATGCAAGGAAAGAAAGAATACATGTGTTAATGTAACATAATTTATACTCGTTATCTCATATCGACGATAATTTAACTAAAAGGTCAAGTTTACAAATTGATTTTAAAACATACTCTAGATCCATGGGTCTCAAAATGTGGTTGCAAAAACAGCAGCATCAGCATCAACTAGGAAACTGATAGAAATACAAATTTTTGAGCCTCACCCCAGAAACATAAAAACTAAAGGGAGAGGGGGCAGGCAGCAATCTGTCTTTTAAGACCCCCAGGTGATTCTGATGCAAGTTAAAATTTGAGGATCATTGATTAGATCAATCTTTGAAAGTAATAAGCAAACAGTTCTACGTGACATGAGATAAATATAATGAATAACAGATACAGTATGATTAAAACTTCTCAGAGATTATGAAAATATAACAGTATTTATAAAGCTATATTAGATTATGAATACTTATTCCCCACTCCTAATGTTTCCTTCTATTAAAATAACATGCCTAGCCTCTCTCCATGCCTTTAAATATCTGTCCATACATATGCCACTACTTAATTTCTTCCCTTCTCTTTAGATGTCAATGGAACAATTTGGAATTGAATTTGAAATCCAAGGGGGAAAAATATATATTTTAAATATTAAATATATATTTTTAATATATATTATTAATATATTGTATTATATAAATATATTGATTATATATTACATTAAATATATATAAAATAAATATATATATGCATGCAATGCAATACTGGTTCTTTCTCTTATTATCAAATTCCAACACTCATGAATCGGTTATATCTGAGATGACCTGTGTTTTACTGTGAACCCTCTCGTTAAGACTGGATTGCTACTACAAACTAGCTATAATCATACTCTTAACATTATATTATTTACATAAGATCAGGTGGAGACTAATAGGAATCTCTTACCTTGTCAGGCATGAGTCAGTAATAATTATATGCACTGGAATATGCCATACTTATTCCATAAGCAATGTCGTTCAAAGTACATGAAATACCTTTCCCTTCCCCTTATTCTTCTCATCTCCCAAGGCCTTCCCTATCTTTCTATGGCCTAGTCAATGAATTGAAGAGGAAAGAGCATCAGTCTTAAACTGGGATTCCAGACAACTAAATTTTAATTATAGTTATTGTCACAACCCTATCTGGTTAATCCTGGGAAAGTCATTTTACCTTCCTTAAAATAAGTTCCTTTATTTAAGAACTTTATAATCCGTTTGGGAATGTCAAGACCTTTTTAAAGTTTTTATTTTTAGAGAATCTCTAAGGCCATCGTTTAGATTTATATTTTATAATTCTGTTATTTATTGATTCAAAGAATGATTATCAAATTATCTTTAAAAAATAGGAATTAAAAACAAATGATTCATCCATCTATTGCACTTAATATATGTTCTCTAAGATAGACTCAAAGAGGTCACGTTTTCACTGGATTAAGTTTTCTATACACAGCGCTTTTAAAATTCAGCAATTCAAGTGAATAATAAAAAAAATAATGCATCTACCATTTAAGCGGCTTTACTCTGTAAGGGGAGAAGCGATTTAAGAGATATTTAGGTGTTCTTTCTTTGCGAGTACATTTTATATGGATGATACAGGCCATGTTCATTTTAGAAAACAAAAGATCAGTTATTTATTCTAAAGGTAGACTAGATGAATCACTCTCCAATTTTTCTCGTATAATTGAGCTTCAATTAAGTAGTCATTTATGCCAAATAATTTTGAGCTCAACTTGACCAGTCAATAAAGAGTGACAATTTCACATGTCAATTGACAGTATGAATTTTCTTTTATAAACTTTATAAAGTTTCTTTTACAGACTTTTATAAACCTTTTATAAACCAGATGAAGTCATGTACTGAAGAGAACTTCAAGGCCTTAAAGATTCCTTTCTCAACATTGAATATTCCTAATTATTTCCTATTGGCTTTTGTAAAACACAAACTTGTCTTTTTAAAAGAGTCATACACGTTTAAATTTTTCTCCTAAAGGGAAAAAACCTATCAATGTTAAGATTAGAGAGTGGTTTCACTTTTACATTAGAATTACTTTTGTGTCATAATGAGATCTGACTTTTTTGTTTTCCAACTGTTCGTTATTTTAATAATGTATTTCAAGAGCAGATCTGTGTATTTGTGGAGAGGTATTACATTATTCAAAAGGCTGACATCGCATGTGTGTCTAATAATGAATCTAGTAATTACCTCAATAAATCCAGCATGCAGTGACTGATAATCCTCATGAAATATAATATCAGTGATACTGTCTTGAGAGTCCTTTAATAAGAAATCACTGAAGCAAAAAGGCTACTTTGCAAACAACATCACATTCCAACTGAATTCATAGCCAGCAGCTATCTTTAGGAAGAAAACATGTTTTATCTCTGTCTATAGATTAGATAACACGCATGTTTACAAGTATGGTTGGGAATGTAAATATTAATGACATTTTTAGGTCTTAAAGCAATTCAGTAAGGTTGTCATCTTTGCTTTTCCCACTCTGCTCTCTTGGTCTCTGAGATTTTCAGTTCTACAAATTTATCTGCCAACATTTTTCTCTCACTCTATAGCATCTAGGAAAATAAAATGTGAGGGAAATGTAGGTCAGAAGTCTGCTTTTTTCCCTGATACAGGGAAATGGGAATGATTTTAAATTGCCTTATTTTCCCCATGATATGCGGGCACTAAACATTAACTTCATTTTTTAAAAAGAAGATAAATCTTACATTAAAGAGTTTTAAAAGGTACAATATAGACAGAACAAGAAAATACGGCATGAAAAATTGTTAACTGCTAGAAATACTGAAAGGAAATTTAAAAAGAATATGAAAGTTTTGACCTTGGAATTTAGAGATCGGGTTTTGACTAAAATGCAAGTTCTATAAATCCAAGAGAAATATAATGTTGAATGGTAATCAGTAACCATGGTCTGGTAAGCATTCAAAGCCACAATGACAATGATGACAAGAAACAGATCACATTTTAATCCGCAAACAAATCTATCTAGAGGGCTAGATAATACATCCGGGCAAAAGGGTCTTTTGCAAAGGGCAGTTTGTTTCAATTTCCATACAACCCAACTACCACTTGGTGAGGCTCAAGAGACCTCACAGCAACGTCAAACGTTTAAAATGAAACATCTCTTGGCTAACATTAAACAGAACATTATTTAGCAAATAATTAGGGTTCACTCAAGCATGGTATTCAAAATCAATCAACAGGACATAAAGTTTTTATAGGGAAAGAATTTCAGTGGCTTGTAAGCTTACTGGGTATAGGTTAACACAAGATGGGGGAAGAAATTCCTCTCATTTTGTCAAAGCTGGCTCTTTAAAGCAACAGATCAGTTAGAGCCTTCACAGACCCTTTCTTCAGTCAAGGGAATAATTTTCTGAAAGAAGTAAACCCCCTGCCTCACAGCAATGTTCATTTGGGGGTGAAATTTGCATGACATAGAGTGAGAGTCAGGCACATTTGCTCTGCCCTTCTATCTAATTCTGTTTGCTGACATCTAGGAAAATAACTTAACAATGTATTGTATATCATCTATACCCTTTTAAGCACATGATGTAGACGTTATTTTCATTAGCAAAATATTTTTGGATGAAAAAGGTAGTACAACATTTAATGTACCTTCCAGAATAGCATATAATAATGAATTTCTTTTTGTTTATGCTATAGTATACAGAATATGTATATTTCTAAGAGTTCTTCACTAAGAAAACTCTCCTCCAAGCATATATATAAAACTATGAAAAATAAAGAAAAAAGGTTTTACCCCTTCAGGATTATACTTTGCAAGCACACCATTACCATGGAATTCTTCAAGAACATCCTTTAATTTCTTTGTAGAATCTATAAGAAATAGAAAACGCACAAATTGTTTATATATGCCTAGTGTGGTTCTGCAACCCAGTTGAGAAACAAAAGACTTCTTAAAATAGAAATAATCACCAACAGATATTAAATTTTAAAGTGAACATGTAAAATTTTCTTTACCACTTTTGAAAGTCTATTTAATTGGAAAAGGCAACCACGAAAAAAGAAAGAAACAGAAAAAAGTACGTTTTGCCCAAGGGTATTGCCCAAGGATGGGGCCATGCCTGTGTATTATATGAATTGAGTAAATAAATGAATAGGTAGTAGGGGTTTTTTTTCCCTCTATTTTGATAACACAACATCTAAATGAAAGAAGTAACTTAATTTAAAAAGAAAACTTGGGCATTCGTTGTTGAATTTTACAGTTTACACAGTGCATTTTTTGTATATCACTGTATTAGCTAATACTAACCCTGCTGGATAAACAAGAAAAATAAAATGTGTGGCTAAGCCTCAGTGGTGAATGCACTCAGACGCAAGCTGTAAGATTTTAGTATTTTTCAGATATTTTTAGAAAGAATTTTCTAAATATACATACAGCTCAATACTAAAAAATATTTTAATTCAATTAAGAAACAAAGTTTAGATACGTTACCAAATGTATTTCAAATTACTTTTCTCAAATTTTTTATAATTTTTGGGACTTTCATCATATTAAGATTGAAGCAAGAGAATCCTGAGTATTAATAATAATAATAATAACTTATGAAAGACAAATATTATTAGAATTTAAAAAATTATATACAAATATATGTATTTAATATACTGAAATAAAGCTCTCATAGTTATCAGAATATAATTTTTTGACCAAACAATCTCATAACTACAGCATATTTAAGTTAGAGTAAAACTATAGCTAGTAAATATTGGTGCCATCCAAATATTCAATCAAATTTGATTAACAGTGATAAAACAAGCTTTAGATAAAGATGTGGGATAAGCAGAAGGTTCTTAGTTCTCCACCATGGAACAGGGCATGGATATTGTTTCTTAGCATTTGAATATAACTCTTCCTGCCTTTCTCCAAAGCTTGGTGATATTTGAACCACCATAAAGTATTTACCAACACTAATTTACTAATGAGCTTTTGAAACACCTTGTTTGAAAATCCACTCTTAGATGCCCATCAACTGCATTATATCTACATTTTGTGAATTATAGTTTCCTTCAGAATGTACAACTTCATTTCTTTATATTGTATATTCTTTGGGGTTTTATAGGTATATGACTTTTTTTTATTGCAGTAAAATTCACATAATGTAAATTCACTTTAACCATTTTAAAGTATACAATTCAGTGGTTTTTACTATATTCACAATGCTGTGCAACCATCACCACTATCTAATTCCAGAACATTTCCATCACTCTGAAAGGAAACCCCACATTCTGAACATTTCATAGAAATGGAATCATATAATATGTTTTCTTTGTGTTTGGCTTCTTTCACTTAGCACAGTGTCTTCAAGTTTCACCGATGCAGTAGCACGTGTCAGCACTTCATTTCTTTTTATAGCTAAAAAGCATTCCATTTTATGGATATACTACATTCTGTGTATCCATTCATCAGCTGATGTACATTTGAGTTGTTTCCGTGTTTTGGCTTTTATGAATAATGTTGCTATGAACATTCAAGTATACATGTTTTTGTGCAAATATGTGTTAATTCTCTTGGGTACATACATAAGAGGAGAATTGCTGGTCATATAGTAACTCTATGTTTAACATTTTGAGGAATTGCCAAACAGATTTTCACAGGGCTGGTACTATTTTGCATTCCTGCCTTCAATATACGGGGGTTTCACTTTCTCCACACCTTTGCCAACACTTGTTATATTCTAGTTTTTTTTATTATAGCCATCCTAGTGGATATGAAAAGGTTTTGATTTACATTTGATTAGTCATTTGCTAATGACTAATGATGCTGAACACCTTTTCATGTGCTTATTGGCCATCTGTATATCTTCTTTGGAGAAATGTTTATTTAAGTCTTTTGGTCATTTTTCAGTTGAATTGTTTGTCTTTTTGTTGTCAATATTCTCTCTTGTGGGTGTGTGCATGTATGTATGCATGTGAGTGTGAGTGTGTGTGTGTGTTCACACTATAGCATACTTGAAGCCTGTACAGCTTCCTATGTATTTCTTTTTCAGTGTATATTTTGCTAGCACTTTCCATACTGATCAGTTTATTTGTAATGCCATGTTCCTTGCTCGACTACAGGTTGCCCTAGGAAAGAAAGGCAGAGCATTCAAATTTATTACCAAAAAAGCTGAAACAACAGAATTGTAATAAATATTGGGATTGAGTTGATCAGAGCTATTTCTAAATTAAAACAAATTACAGTAATTGCTTCAATATGCAATTTGGCAGAAACTTACACTACTTCAGACACCAGGTCGCATATTAAAAAGAGGCATGAAGCTGATTCCTCCCTCCCAAATCCTTCTGTGTGAAAGATAAGCCACTGTTCTAAGTTAGCAGAACAGCTTTTACTTCCTCTTGTTTATAGATGCAGACCCTTCTGTACATACCTACAGAGACAGACACGTATATAGATGCATAAATTCTGGAATAACATATCCCAAAAATCTAGGTTTATTTTAATCACCTTAGCCCCATGACAAAATGGAAGGGGGAGGGAAGAACACTTTGGTTTCTCATACATAGGCCTTCCACAGAACTTTAGAGACTGCCTGAAGGTGGACATTTCATTTCAGGCTTCCACAGGAGTGAGAAACACATTCAGTAATCATTTATAAATGTCCCAGAGAAAACAATAGCCTTTAAAATTATTCACGTTATTTTTCAATGGTTTACTGGTCATAGTTTCTATTGGAATATTCTTAGTGAGAAGACCTCTAGGAATAAAGTAATAAATTAAGAGCCAAAATCTCTCTATCTGTGACTGCCATTTCCATGAACTGAGGCTCATTGATGATCTTGGTCTGGGACACTTTAAGAAGCTCCAGTTCATATTCAGGTGAATCACCACCAACTGAACTTACTCCTTTTCCAATTCTCAAGTTCCATCTTTAATATCTTGACATCTGAATTTTACCCAGGATCCAATACTCACTCCACAATCTAGTTTAGAAAATCGAGTATTATCTTGTTCTTATATTCCTGTCCCAATAACCTTTCTTGGGCCCAGTCTCTCTAAGATTGAGGCCTTGACTTTCCCAGCCAATCTTCTTGGATGGAGATTTTGGTATGGAACAGCAGAGGCTTCCAGATATCCTACCAGGCCCCATAACCTTTAAATAGAATTCCCTTATGTGAACTGTCTACATATCTGCTTGGAGTCCCAAATTGCACTAGACTGTGAAAGCCCCATTGCTGTATACTCCCTTCCTTCATAGCAGAACACACATTTACTTATTTTCTAACTCAGCTGCTTTTCTGAATTTGTTCCTATTACCTATCACCATAAACCTTCCTATCTTTTTGATTACGTCAACTCTGAATCTGTCCATCCAAAACAACACTGGGGCAGTGGGGAGGAGAAGGGATGCATGACCGGATCTGACCTACCCCCTAGTACAAGACAGACACCAAGGACGTGACGCCTGGATGAACAGATAAGAGGTGAATGAAAGACATATTTCAGCTAATATTGGAGCTTCAAGTACATGAGCACAGTGACTGATTCTGAGCTGAACAACGTTGAGAAATGCAGGCTGGCAGCCAGACAGGCAGGCAGCTGTGAGCTGGGATATCAATTCACACTTAATATATATCTGTAATGGGACAAAGGTTTGGAGTCCGAGAGGGTTGGCAATTGCTGGAGTGCTGGGCAGCCAGGTTCAAACAGCTAGTTTAATCCTTGGGATAAGAGATCAGGACAGATGCTCAACACAAAATATCAGGTCTCCTAGAAAGCAAAGGAGGGTTATGATTTAGGCAACTCTGAAATAGAGAGCTAATTCCTAAGGCACTGTTACTTGGCTTAGCTAATAGGGTAAGAAACTTGGAGAAGAATGCTGGATACCAATTGCTGTGCTTTGACTGGCATATTCATCTTACCAAGAAGTAATTTAATATTAATAACTACAGCAGAGAATGAGGTCATTTTATTTTGTCTTTTTCATCACCATCAGAATCATCTAAGAACGAAGGGGGTACTAAGCCTAAAAATGAGAATAATTTTGTTCAGCAAACACTTTTGTTAAATGCTGGGACAGAGGAAATGTATATGGGGCCTGATAGAGTAGATTTTCTCTTATGGCTTGTCTTTCTAGCATCTGCTCTAGTGCATGAGCTTTTCCAGAAGGCCCCTAAAGTGCCCACTCCCTGTGAACCCTCTCATGTTTGGCTGAGTCAGGTAATATACAATGCCATGAGAGTTAAACTAGTAACATTTTAGGAATGTGCAGTTAGGAATGTTCTGAATTTTAACATAAATTTCAAGGAAAATTTAATTCCTTTCACATAATTCTGGAATAAAAATAAATCAGTAAGTACACTTGGCAATGTTTAGAAAATAGAAGAGTCAAGTTAATGAGTCTTAAAAAATGCTACATGAAAATTGAAACACTTTTGCGGCCAGCCCTGTGGCGTAGTGGTTAAGTTCGGCATGCTCCACTTTGGTGGCCCAGGTTCACAGGTTTGAATCTCAGGTACAGACCTACACCACTCATCAGCCATGCTGTGGCAGCAACCTACATACAAAATAGAGGAAGCTTGACACAGAGGTTAGCTGAGGGCCAATCTTCCTCATCAAAAAAAAGGAAACACTTTTAGTTTACTTCATATCTCTTTGGGTGTCTGTTACATCTTGAATGAGCTTCCTTTGTGATTTCATGGCATCTTTGCCTCTTTATTGCAAAAATCTCAACACACACTTGTCAGACTAATAGCATAGGCCTAGCAGAGTAATGGAAAGATTTAAAGCCAGATAGATTGGATTTTGGATTTGTGTCCTGTGTCCAGAATTCTTGGCTGAATGTCCCTGGGCATATTTTTAACCTCTCCATGACTCA